GTCTCTCCTCTTCAGGGTGACGAGGGATCCTGCCGGAGAAAATCAGATCACCTGAAAGCACAGTTTGAGAAAAGCCACGCGCAGTTGCTTCAAAATATTAAGGCCGAAAAAGAAAATCACGAGAAAATCCGGAAGCTTCAGGAGGAGCTGGAGAAGAGTAACGAGTGCGCAGACGTGCTGAAACAGAAGGTGGACGAGCTCACCAGGCAGAACAACGAAACCAGGTTAATGATGCAGCGGATTCAGGCCGAATCGGCCAACGTGGTTTCAGAGAAACAGGCCATCCAGCAAAGATGCGAAGCCCTGAAAATTCAGGCGGACGGTTTTAAAGACCAGCTGCGCCACACAAACGAGCATCTGCACAAACAGACGAGAACGGAACAGGATTTCCAGAGGAGAATCAAGTCCCTGGAAGAAGACCTGGCCAAAAGCCAGAATTTGGTGAGCGAATTTAAGCAGAAGTGTGACCAGCAGAACATCATTATCCAGAAGACGGAGAAGGAGGTGAGGAACCTGAACGCGGAGCTGAGTGCCTCCCAGGAGGAGAAGCGCCTCGGGGAGCAGAAGGTGCAGCAGCAGCAGGCGCAGGTGCAGGAGCTGAACGACAGGTTGAGGAAGGTCCAAGACGAGCTGCACCTGAAGACCATAGAGGAGCAGGTGACCCACAGGAAGATGGTTCTGTTTCAGGAGGAATCCGAGAAATTCAAACGCTCGGCGGAGGAGTTTCGGAAGAAGATGGAGAAGCTGATGGAGTCCGAAGTCATCACCGAGAACGACATCTCGGGCATCAAGCTCGACTTTGTGTCCCTTCAGCGGGAAAACTGCCGGGCGCAGGAGAACGCCAGGCTCTGCGAAACGAGCCTCCGCGAGCTTGAGCGGCAGCTCCGGCAGTACCGCGCGCAGGCGCCGCACGACCGCAAGTGCCGCGAGCTCGAAGGCGAGCTGGTCGCCCAGAAGCGGGAGGTGGAGAACCTGAAGCGCAAGATGGACCAGCAGATGAAGGAGCACGAGCATCAGCTGGTGCTGCTCCAGTGTGAGATCCAAAAACAGAGCCCAGCGGAAGACGGCGCCCTCAAGGCCCCAGATCCCGAGACGGCCGCGAAGGGGTGCCAGCGCCCTGGGGACCTCTCCTCCCGGGGCTCGGGAGCGCTGCCCGCCGGGCCCCCCGGGGCCAGGGCCCCTCTGCAGAGCTGGGCTCCGGAACCGCAGCCATCCGAGGAGGGGTGGCAGCGTAGGGTTGCTGAACAGATGCAGAAGGAGGTCCAGGTCAGGCTGCCGGGGGTTCCAGCTGAGAAAGAGAAAAGCCAGCAGTGTTACTCTGAGTACTTTTCTCAAACAAGCACCGAATTGCAGATAACTTTTGATGAGACGAACCCTCTTACAAGACTGTCAGAAATAGAGAAGCTAAGAGATCAGGCTCTGTACGGTTCCAGACCACCTGCCAGGTATCAAGATGACAAGTGTGAAGTGGACCTGGTGGCGCTTTTGGCGCCCTTGGAGGTATACTCTGGATTCTGAGATCTTGTCTGCTCCCCTCCATCAGGTTTCCGCTCTTGTCTCCTTTCTCTTCTAGATTCAAGTTTTATTTTCTTTTTCCTAACAGTGTTGCATGTGATCGGCTCTTCGTAGTTCTGACAAAAAATAATACTATCATTTTCTAGTGACTTACTTGAATCTTTACTCCAAACTATATTCTTTCACTCTTAAATCTTTGAGATTAAAAACCCAGATGGGAGGACTATACTGTTGTGTATCTACGGATGAGATTCTGAAAAATTTGACCACAAAAAAGCTAGAAAAACCAAGACATTAAGTTTAATTTCTAACAAGTTCTGTCTGTCAGCAAAATTTCATCTCTTCTTAAGACATACCACTTTCATACCTTCATTGTCATCTAAAGTTTAAAGTTGAGACTCTCCAAGGTATTTACTTGCTCCTGAACCCTCTTTAGCTTGAACATTTTCTCCTCTTGTCTCATCTTTGATGCTCTGGGAATCGTGTTTGGATTAAGAGTGGTTGAAGTGACGTAGCGTTCTTCAGATGACTCTTAACGCCTTATCAATTCCTGTTACAGATAGCTAAGAGCAAGCAGTATGATTTGCACACAGAAGTCACAGCCTTAAAGCAAGGGAAGAACCCCGGCTCCAGTGCTGAGGGATGGATGCTTGAAGGGGGTGGATTCAAGAGAGGAGAGCTTCAGAAGGGCTCAGAACCAGAGACCTTCCAGCACGTAGATGGAGATCTTGCGTGTTCGGTCAGGGACGATGAGTTTCAATTCCAGGGGCTCCGGCACCCTGTGACTGCCAGGCAGTTGGTCGAAGCTAAGCTTCTGGACATGAAGACAGTCGAGCAGCTGCGACGCGGTCTTAAGACGGTCGAAGAGGTTCAGAAGACTCTCAGCAAGTTTTTAACCAAAGCCACCGCCATTGCAGGGCTTTACCTCGAAGCCACAAAAGAAAAGATGTCATTTTCTTCAGCAGCCAAGAAAATCGTAATAGACAAGACGATGGCGTTAGCCTTTTTGGAAGCTCAGGCTGCCACGGGTTTCATAATCGATCCCCTTTCAGGTCAGACCTATTCGGTTGAAGTGCAATTCTTCAGGGAGTGATTGACCCCGAATTCAGAATTCGGCTCCTTGAGGCAGAGAAGGCAGCCCTGGGGTATCCGTGTTCCTCCAAGATGCTGTCAGTGTTTCAAGCTATGGAAAATAGGATGCTTGACAGGCAAAGGGGCAAACATATGTTGGAGGCCCAGATCGCCAGCGGGGGCGTCGTCGACCCCGCGCGGGGCATTCGCGTTCCTCCGGAAGTCGCTCTGCAGCAGGGCTTGTTGAATAACGCCATACTGCAGTTTTTACACGAGCCGTCCAGCCACACAAGGGTCTTTCCTAATCCCAATAACAAGCAAGCGCTGTATTACGCGGAATTACTGCGCATGTGTGTGTTCGACGTCGACTGCCAGTGCTTGCTGCTTCCGTTTGGGGAGAGGAACATTTCCAACCTCAATGTGGCGAAAACGCACAGGGTCTCGGTCGTAGACACCAAGACGGGAGCAGAACTGACCGCGTACGAGGCTTTCCAGAGAAGCCTGATCGACAAAAGCACCTATCTTGAGCTGTCAGGGCTGCAGTATCAGTGGAAGGAGGCCACCTTTTTTGAATCCTACGGGCATCCTTCTCGCGTGCTGAGGGATGCTAAGACCGGGTTGCAGCTCAACATCGATGAGGCGGTAGAGCAGGGAACTGTCGACAAAGCCTCGGTCAGAAAGTACCAGGAGGGCCTCATCACGCTCACAGAACTTGCGGATTTCCTGCTCAGCCGGCTCGTTCCCAAGAAAGATGTGCACAGTCCCGTCGCGGGGTATTGGCTGACGTCCAGCGGGGAGAGGATCTCAGTCCTGAAGGCCTCCCGCAGGAATCTGGTGGATCGGATCACCGCCCTGCGATGCCTCGAAGCCCAGGTCAGCACCGGGGGCATCCTTGATCCTCTGACCGGCAAGAGGTACCGCGTGGCTGAGGCTCTGCACAGAGGCCTGCTGGACGAGGGTTTTGCCCAGCAGCTACGACAGTGTGAGTTGGTGGTGGCGGGGATCAGTCATCCTGTCACTAACAAAGTGATGTCAGTGTTGGAAGCTGTGAATGCAAACATCATAAGTAAGGACATGGGGGTCCGGTGTTTGGAATTTCAGTACTTGACAGGGGGGCTGATGGAGCCCCAGGCTCAGACCCGCTTGTCCATAGAGGAGGCTCTCCAAGTGGGTATGATAGATGTCTCCATCGCGACAAAACTCAAAGATCAGAAGTCCTACGTCAGAAACATCCTTTGTCCGCAGACGAAAAGAAAGTTGACATACAAAGAAGCGTTAGAAAAAGCCGATTTTGATTTCCACACGGGACTGAAACTCTTAGAAGTGTCTGAACCCCTGATGACAGGAATCTCCAGCCTCTACTATGCTTCGTGATAGGACGTGTGTAGATTACCTGGAACAGGTCCAGTTCCCACGATGGAACACACAGTCCAGAAATTGTATCACATACTCAAAGCACCAGTTGCTTTCTTGAGGGCTGGAAAGAGCTAACTGCTGAGGAGAGAAAATACTTTTTAAACTGAAAATATCCAAAGACTTACTGCCCCAATTCCATTTACCTTTGAGATTTGTTTTTTGACTCTTACCTACACTCAGATAGAAATATTTTACCTAGAGTATGGGATAAGCTTGAGGAACTCCGGCAGGTTTCCAGCATCCGCTCTTCCGAGCCCTCCATTCATGACCGGATCCTGCCTGATGTCAGGGTTCCTTCCCATTTATTAAACGATCCATTGCACTCGCTGACAGAGCACTGCAGAAAGCGCCATGGAATCCAAGGGAAAAGTGCCCATTTGTTCCAGCATCCGTGAGGCTATATTGTTTTAGATTGCCTTGAAAAATGAAAGTTTGGGGTTTCTGTGTGTGTGTGTGTATGTAACGTTCTTTGCCTATTACCTGTTCCCCACCGTCTCCCATTTCTAGTCACGACTTTGTCACTGGAAGCAGCATCATGACTGGGTTCTGTGTTGGAGGAAGGCAGATGATTTTTCTTCGTTCTGTGTAATTTTCCTACGTGTGCAGACTTTCTCCACTGTTTCAGGTTGCCATTGTCTGATACTCTTCTGTCCAGACAATTGTGCTTGTGATGCTAATGCAAAGGCAGCAATTCAGAGATCGCCCAGTGCTTCATGAATAAAGTTGAGTTTTTAAACGTGTCATATTGGTAGACCAGCTGGGAGGTTCCACTGATCATTCAAGACTGACTGTCACAGTTTCCTTTGCTACATAAACATTTTGGAAGTACATCTGGTGTGTGACGTGATACACATGGTTAAGTGAATGAATAAAGCATCTCGGTAACCTGCGTGTGATGCAAAACTATTTTTACATTCTTGATTTCTATGGAGAGGTCACTTCAATAGCTTAGTCATTTATTGGGATATATCTTTTTTTTTATCACTTACATCTGACAGAAGTCACTGGAAGAAGAAAAGAAAGAGCATGTTGAAAAAGCCAAAGAATTACAGAAATGGGTATCAAATATCAGCAAGACATTGAGAGATGGGGAGAAGGCTGGAAAGGCTTCCCTCTTTAAGCAAAAGGTATTCCCAAAGTCCTGGTTTAATAATCACAATGGGGGGGAGAATTTACTGAGTTGCGACAGTCCACCTAAAAACCCCTTTAATTCTTTAGTTGTCCCTATTTTTATAGGCAATTATAATGAGGATCAGAGAGGTTAGGGAACTTGCCCAAGGAGTCACAGTATGCGGCAGAAGACGGTGCCTCTGATTCCAAAACCTGAACTGTGTAAATATTAGTCTCGCTCTTAGTAAACCAGTGTGCAGGGCTGCTTTTCCTAACAGTTAGATCTCCTTCTGGGTTATCTTGGTGAGATTTGCCGAAGACCAGAGTCCTGTTTTGTGCCCAGAGGACGTCCATGCACTTCTGTATCACAAAGATAACACAGTTTCATTCTTACAGATATAAACAGAATGTTTCAAGAACCACAAAATACAAACCAAGATATTAACATTTCTGAGGATCCAATGCCCTTCTGATCTTTTCTGTTCCATAAGAAGTGTTCTCCAATCATCCCCCCGTCCCTGCCTGGAAATTCTAGGTTCTTTCCGTGACCTAAATGTCCCTTGGACCGTCCCCCTTGAAGCTCTTAGGGCACTGGGTTAAGTTAAGCAGTGCTGATGCCACCAGTGCTAACACTGAACTGCCGCTGTATTTTAAAAAATCCATTTCTGCCAAGTGCAGCGGTGTTTGTATTTTTCCTGTCTTGCCCGGCTGCTCCTGCCTGACCCGTGGCCATGACAGATGCGATCATTATCTTCCCCTCCTGGTTCTGCAGGATCCCTCACTGGGCATCAGTGGAAGCGGGTGCTGTGGACATCAGTAAACAGCAGAAGACTTCGTGTCTTGTCTCATTTTGCCTGTGGTGTGAGGCGGCTGTGCCTTACCTGGGTCTCCCCCTTGGAGAGGCTTATAGACCCGAGGATTTACTTGAATTCTGACTCAGTTGAAATAAAGCCAGCTTAGCTCATAGTCTAGCGGACTGTTTTTTATATAGTGTGGAAGAAATAAGTTGGCAAGTAGTTACCGGTGGTCTTTTAAACCCAAAACCCTCAAAGTAATTTTATGCAAATATTTAGTTAAAAATACCTTTTTTTTTGGTTTCCCCTCTGCCAGATAGGAAAAGAGCTAAATCAGGGACATAAATCTTCACCAGGATTTCTGGGGAGAACAAGTTTCTTTTGGGGAACATAGTTTATAAAGCCTTCGTGATTTCTCATTCTGTAGTTTTAAATTCTCCACAAGTTCACAGATCAGTTTTAGTTTTAGACTTAGCAGACATGAAAGTAGACAGGTACCTTTCCCATGCAGATCATGGAATAAATGACGGATCTTGAATAACACTTCGTGGTCCCTCTGTTAAAGGGAATTTCAGGTAATTTGATGTGAATAATAAATGTGGCCTTAAAAAAGTCAGTATGGCCTCATAACTATCTGTAACCATGAGAAATAGACTTCCGGGGAAATGGACCTTTTCACTGTCCCATCGTACTTTCTGCTCACTTCAGAGAGTGGCAGTGACTTTCGATATTAGATCTTGAGAAAGGAATTAAGGGAGACTATTACAACAGTTTGCTTTCCCTCAAACAAGTC